ATATATAAATTAAGGTAATACACGCCAACTTGAATTATATCTTTTTTTAGCCCGGTGTTAGAGTTTTAAATGAAAGCCTGCAGCAATGCAGTGTGTACCTGGTTATAGCTGAAGAAGAGCACAGCACCGTTGTACATCAGTTCTCTGGCCTCAGCATGTTTTCCTTGTGACATATACCTGATGGGAGACAGGACTGTTACACACACACACACACAGAGTACACACATCTGACAATGATGCCTGCCCCTGGGTGTACATTTTAAATACTAATACTCTCTGCTGAAGATCATACAACACTTACAGAGCTAGGAGACATGTGATGTGAAGAAGTTATTATTGGCATAAAGACACAACACAGATCAGTAAGAGGGCAACTAGCCAACAAATAAAGATAAATAGTAGACTCCGGCAGCTGGGGGGAGGCACAGAGGTCAAGACAATTGTACTATTGTGTGAAAATGACTAAATGTATTCAACTATTAGCTATAAAACAAGGAACAAATGTACTACATGACAAATATAGGCAAATTAATGACTAGCAAGTTTACAGACGCTACAAAAGAATTGGGCACCAAGCTAACTCGTGCTAAGCTAACAGTTTAGCAGCGATAAAAGGCATAGCAATAACATTTTAACCCTACTAAAACAGTCAGTTATTATATTTAGTTTGTTTATATATAATTATATACAAATCCTGAAAACGAGTGTCACTCTCTTAGCTTAGCTTAGCTAACACAACTTTGCTAACATCACATTAAAGGCGTTCCTACTGGAGCCAATAGCCGTGGTTCTTTTGAAGATGGAAATGACGGCTGCCCAATCAAACACGGGCACACACTGACGTGGGCGGGTCTAGAGTGAAAACCGACCAATCACATACAAGGAGCTGACACCCAAGGCTTGACAGCAGAATGATCTGGAACAGGCAGGCCTGAAACTACAAATTCACACACTCACAACCAGACAGCGAGGAGGACTCACCTAAAAAATAAAGTTCTGTACATTTGATGAGCTTCATAGTAATCTCCTTTTTCCACGCTGGCTCGTAGTTTCCCCTCGACCCTCTGTACGCCGCCACGGTTTCTGACACTGGAGCACCTCAGGGACTCCGGCTCCGCCATGGTTGCTGGTCCGCAGCAGCGCTACGACTGTTGACAGAGCAAACAACGGCAAAGCGATTCACGAGGACCTGACCCTCACCGGCTGCCGTAGCCGTGTAGAAATGTTCTGTTTTTATTTCTCCATGTTTTTAGGCACGTATTTATTTCAACAGATACATCATTACGTTCAGCTTCTTTAGGACAGTTTTTCCCATGAACATCTATAAATCTGTACTTTTACCTTTTTATAGTTTTTCTTCTTTTTAGCTATCATTCTGTCCTTTTCTGCTTATATCCTTTAATTTCTAACTTTTCTTTTTTAATCTTTAAATTGAATTGAAGTCTGGGGAAAGCATGAAACCCTATTTTTGTTTTACAGAAAAGATCTGAGCTATCACTAAAAAACACCACAGTTACCCATCAAATACATAATTTTATCAAATGAAATTATTAAAACTCTATAAGTTGGTTGATTATAATATTTTACAGGTTATGTAAAAGCATATTACCTTTAAATATCCAATTAAAATTAGTTAAGAGAGTGAGTTATTGTGATCTTAATGGAACAGAGATGTTTCATGAAACCTAAATTTCAAACTAGTTTGAAGGAGCGGTGTACTTCCATACAAGGATTAAGATTATGGAATAATCTGGAGAGTGATGTTAAAAATGCCAGATCAACGTTTATGTTCAAGAGAATAATAAAAGTCAGTTTGTTGGAAAAATACAACAGTATAATGTGTATCCATATGAATTTTTGTTGACAACGATTTGATGTTTTATTTGTCTTGTTTGTAGATTATTATTGTTTGGATTTATTTTTTGAAAAAAGGGACAGATACAAGATTTTTTTTCTTCTTTCTGCTGCCTTTCATTTGAAATTTTATTGTACTTTTTATTGTACATAGAATTTATTTTGTCACAATAACAATAATAAAATAATCATAATTTAAACTTTTTGTATGAGGCAT